CGGGCTTCAAGGTTTCTCATAAGCCTTCCAATCCTCTCCTACTGATCATAAATTCAAACTAAACGCACAGAGACAAACGATATTGCCACACGAATTATTTCGCCTTTATTTGAAATTCTGGGTTAGTTTCCCCCGACGATTTTATTTGTGCGATGGATCTCATTTAGAAAAGTAGTTTAAAAAGGTAAAATTTGAACTTGTCTCCTTTCACAGAATTATCTTAAAGCGGTAACTTTGCGAGGTACCTAGTTTGCATTCATACATTTCGAACCTGGTCAACTCAAAGGATGGACTTATCAACTTAGCTTATCCCTGAATCTTTTTTTCAGCTGTTCAGCCTTTCATCATTAGTGTAACAGCCTCCAACCCCTCCTTGAAGGAAATATATGGTCTGGATCGAAGAATGAACTTCCATCGTAGTCGCGACTCGGGTGAATCTTGGCGACAGATCACGGACGGTTACTTTAACAAAACACTGACAGAAACCCAGTTGATCAAAGCGAAGGCTCTTCCGGAAAATCTTGTGTCTGAGATACCCACGGGTGAGCTAACAGCGGTCGCTAACTCTACTGGAACTACCTGGGGAGGTGAGTAAAAACTCGATAATTCTCAATATTATTGAATGCACAAAACGATCCTGTTGATGCCAGTCTCGACTGGCTGCTCACTGTTCCTTGTACCCTCCCTTGAAAACTGTACGCTTTTCCTTTCTTTTCCTTTCTAGTTTCCGGGCATGGAATCCATGTGATGACCGCTGGAAGCAAGGCTTGGAGCCTAGTGGGCACATGGAAATGTTGCGGCCAGTAATGAAATGGGTGCCTATTGACAATTGTGAAACTTGTAAATATTACAACTTTATCACATATATAACTCTTGCATACGTTTGCACACAGCACGTAAAATTAGATAATGGGACACTGGTAGGGAAAATATCAAATAGCCATTTTGGTAGCGATAGTTGACAGTTTTGTTGGGACATGTCACAATTACGACCTTGATATGGTTGGTAAAAAATACCGAGGAAAAGGGCTTAGATAAATCAAACTGTAACAAACGTAGAAGATACGTTTTCCTTTTAAACATTTCTTTTGGTCTCACGATAGCGTTATGATTTATAAACTCTTTTAAGATTAAAATATTAATATTAAAATAGTTTCGTGAGATCATTCCTGGGTTGTTAAAACGAAAACAGTTTTAACTTAACCCAGATTTTGTTTAAATTTGTGACTTCAATTTTGAAACTTCGAAGACAGTTTTGTTGACAAAACTTTGTACCATCAGTTTACTTCGTGGTAAGATGAAGGGCCTCAATAAGATAGCACTGACATGCAGATGCCGGGAGTTTTCAGCCTCTTCGCTTCCTAACAGTTCTTTCGTTGCTGCATGTAAATTCCTCGAATTTCAGTCGAGAAAACCTCTGCTGAATTTGAAATTAATTAAAGTTTTTGTATAAAAATGTGACTTGCGGTGATGATCAGATGACTGCTAAGTAAAGAAATAAAATTGCTGCTTGTGAATCCAGTTTGTTGTGTTGTTAATGAAATATTATACGTTCCCTATTGCGTTCGGGTTGAAATATCCCCTCATTTAACGTTCTCGCGTTCAGTACCCTCAGTAAGTTTTTCGTCGATATATATGTTCCCCCTTTCTTATTTCGCCCTGTTTCCAGGTTCAAGCTTTCAGGTCAATATCAATCACAGAAAGTTTATCCTAAAATTAAGTTCAGGTAAGGTAATTCGCTAAGCTTCTTAAGGTCTTTCATCGACAATTGCTTTTTGTTTTGTTCCTCGACTTGATAAAGCCCTTATCAACCACTGAAAAAAAAGAAAAAAAAAATTCACCCTTCTTGAGCTCACGATTTTCCTCCGACCTGTTCGAGATTCAAACTAATATCCCGTTCACACCAAATTAAAACTTAAACCTGTTTTAAAGCTTTTTTGTTAAACGCGGTTTAAAATTGTTTTCTTCATAGAAGCTGCTTTAATCGGTGTTTGTCGACTTCAAATTTAGCACAATGAAAAAACAAGGTAGTGACTACTTGAATCCGCTGGAAAATTCGCTTTCTCGGTATTCTGTTTCTGATTTTCATTCAGTTAAACCTGTTTTAACTAAACATGTTTTGTTGGTATGAATGGGGTATAAGACAAACAAAGGAGTTTTTCAACGCCCAATATCAGTTACACTTTTTCAAACACGCTCTTCTCTCCATCCGTAAGGCCGTTTCAAAATATCGCGTTTTACCTTCTCCTAGCTGTGTTGATGTCGGTGACAATTAAGTGCTTACTCACCGTAATTACTTCCTTATTTTGTAGTTGTTTATTAATGATGAGCATGTCTATCTTTTGCAATATCCGAGCGAATTTTCGAGATAAAGTGGGATTTTATTGCGCGATTTTGTATTGGTCCGACTGATACCGTTATCTGTCGAGCACTTTATCAATTATTAAACTCCCGAAACCATTTACCATGTAGAGTTCTTAACTTTAAAGAATTAAAAACTATTATCATCTTTAATTAGCACTTCTGCTGAGAAAAACATTTTGGATAATTGGCTGCTGAGTCTTTCAAGCTTCAATGTGCTTTATAAGTCATCATTTCTACAGTTTTCTTTCCGAAACATTGACTTTTTATTACTCTCACGTTAACGGAGTAAACAGGAAGGCGTTTAGTACCAAGGAATGATATCTCTCACGCAGCGAGGTGGAAGAATTTACAAACATTACCACTGTCGACACGAAAACATTTCACAGACACACTGTTATCAATTATAAAGTGCTCTATCAATTATCACCCCTACTTTCAATTTCATTGTTAAATTTAAACGAAAACAATGATACGTTATCTCTTAGTTTCGTACTCGATGAATATTTCATTGTTTACTGGTTTACTGGAAGCATACTGAACGTCGAAGAAAGACAGATGAAGAAGCCATGAAGCAAGCTAAGACAATTTGTCGTGTTTTCCTTTGGTTAAATCTTCTTCAGTCAGGTAAATGTGACTCATAAAAGGCCTTTAATTATATATACAAAGAAAACTCTGTTGTGAGTTTACAAGATCGATTTTCACTGGAAAAGTATCCAAGTATGATATAAAGACAAATTCAAAAGGGGAATAGCTAGGGTGGTTAACCAACTTCAACGTTACGAACGCGCTTCAAAATCGGTACTTCGTAAATTTTCATGAGCCTTACTCATCATTTTTGAAAAAAAGTGAAGAGTAATCCATTTTTTTTTTCTGGCAATTTTTGGAAAAGTACTCACTAGTTATTGTCTCCTTCAATGTTCCATGTATTTGGCCACGTTCTTGTGTGGCGAGTCTATATACTAACTTTCCACGTTTCATTCTACGTTTCTCTCTCCTATCTGTTCCGTTAGCCGGCGTTGTACTCGTAACTAATATGTTGTGAGAGACTGAAGGAGAGAAATAAATCAAGGAATGTGGTCTTTGCTCTATAAATACACCCTAGCTTGTTTTCTCAAACGTCAGCCTCATCAATTCACTGAACGTACTGGAATAGGACTCCTCACTAGGAATTTTCCCTCGTTTATTCGTGATTCCGTCGTACAGCAGCCTTTACGCAGTTTTTTTTTAAAGATTGCCGATTTGTAGAGGAGCCCTCACTGTACACTACACATGCCATTGTTTAAAACTTGTATGAATTTTTTGCTATGTTGCAGTTTGTTCTGAGGATCATCGAATACAACGACGGTCCGACAATGTGGGTTGCTTGTGTGTTTCTTGTATCATTTCAAGAATAGTCTTAACCTATTTTATTGTGCTGCTATTGTTTCATTGTTTGTATTATTCCTCTTTATTTTTCCCGATTTCCATTCATCCCTCATGCCTTAAGATATGTCCATATAATAACTATTTAGGGATGCCGCATTATATTGTAATTCTTTTCTGGAATCATCCTCAGCTCACGTCTCGCAAGAACAGCCTTGCAAGTGGGGAGGCAGCCGGCTGGCGAATTCTGTTGTTGTGTTTTGTTAACAGCGACCCCACAAAGAAGATTTACCGAACAGGCAAATTTATAATCCCTTCGAGGTCTGCAATACGCGCAGGGCGAAACAATAAATTTGGCAGTAAAGATTTTTAACATCTGAGTAATTTACACTCCAAGAGCAGGAAGTAAATTTTCTGTATTTTCGTTTAAGGCTGATCCTAAACTACAGATGACAATCGGTCATAATATGAACAACAGTACGTCCATGAAACACGGGTGAGTGAATGACTTTCACAGGGCTGATATAAAAGTTCAGTACCACAGCTTCTTTTTGTGATCAACGCAGAAGTGCAAGAAGGAGTCTATACACCAGTAAATTTGAGCTGCCTTTGACGTCAGTTACGGAAGAGGGCAACTTCCAACAAATATACGAAACTGCAACTCTTATACGCACCTAGCGTGTCTAGATGTTACCAATATTCTCGTGACGTTAATGTGTGATTCAGTGGTGACATTGTTGAGAGAAATTAAATGCTAGTCACTCATGAGGGTCAAACGTACATTTTTAGGTCTCATCTCACGTCCTTCAAGTTATACTTAGTTTTCGTACACAACGCTCCTTTAAATTAAATGTCATCTGAGAGAAGGTTTATTCTGAATTAGCGTTGAAGTCAACTCTACCTTTCACTGAGTTAGCTTCGTGAAGATCTCATTATTGCTGTTTTCGAAAACACTATTTCCTTTGAAACGGTTTTGCAGCCATGGAGAAAACTGAAGTTTGTTTTTTGCCCTTTAGATTTGAGTATAGATATACATTTACAGTAAAGCACTCCTCTGAGTCACGGTCAGACGCACGTGGTGTTCACGTGACCTGGATGCTGACGCCATTTCTCAAATTCAAAAAAGTGGATTCTTCCTTAATGACGGGGTCTCTTCGAGTTCAGCAGAAAGACGACAGCGTGACTTTCTTGGTAAGCTGACGAAAACTTTAACACTAATTAATCACTTGAGTTGGACGCAAAACAATCTATATCCCTAAGGCATTGTGAGGCTGATCCTACACGCCCTTAATTAAATGTGTTTAATCTTTCAACGGGCGGTGTTTCGGCAGGAGACAAAATCAAATGATAAAATGAGCTTTAAGTTTTTACTTTTGTCTTAATATGGGTTTCATTTGCATAAAAGGCAGTGTGAGACAGAACATAAAATGATAGAAGTCGGCCGAAAATAGACGAATAATGCTTATCGATACAGACTTAGCACTTTATTGTAACATTCAGGCGGAAGTAATAATATTCATTGAGAATTTTGATATTCTCAAATTGATCTCCTTGCACAAAATGGGTCATGGAGTTATAGTATGACACGAATGAGGCCTACTTTACCAATCAGCTTAAAATATTCTATTGGGACTTCATCTTGAATTTCTCGGTTCTTGTTTCAGATTGACCAAATTTTGTGGGCGGAAGAAGTCCAATTTAACTTCACTGTGATATTTGACAGCGACCACTCCCTGAAAAACGGAAGACATCATATTGTAACTCCAGTTAGTTTGCTATACTACAAAGAATATACGGACAACGGTCACGTGATAACAAAGGGAACCCCTTTCTCCAGTCGCCTTCAAACACTTTCCATAGAGATGACTATACCTGGTGCGAATAGATTTTAACATTTCACCAAAGACAACGCCATATTGTATATTCCTATTATGACATAAAGACATCAGCTATCGTTCCATCAGTTAATTAATTTTGAGGTTTATACAGCACAAACATACTTTCCAAATATAGTTTTTCGAAAGTGTTTTACAGTAAAATACAAATCAAGTGTTGATAAGATATCGGGAACCATCCGTAATTGTGTTTCAGAGAAGTTACGTAAAACCAAACCATTGTACTCACAACAGTAATTCAAGGGTAAAGGTTGGTGGCCAAAAGGACCGACAATCAGCGACAAATTGTTGACACAGTGACCTTTTCAAACCCTCATTTCTTCAAATTCATACCTTTTGACCTTGTTAACTTAACCTATCGCCCTCTCCCCTCCCCCCCTAAAAAAATTGTTGTATCGAGATTTCGGGAACTCTTAGCTTCATAGAGTCAACATTTGATGGGGGAGGGAGGGGGGGAGGTTATCAATGATTTATAGCGTGGTACGAAAAGTTGTGTTTTCAGCATATATTTAGCGCTGTTGAACGCAATGTGGCAACTAATTTTGTCGCTGATTGTCGTTAAAAAAACTCAGAGTAAAAAGAAGTCAACTTTCTGAAGCGATAGAAAACGCGGATATTGAGTGGCGATTGGTTTTAGCTTTGCATCTGATTGAGGGGGCAGGGGTGGGGGGTAGCTCTCTAACCCAATCACAGCGCATGTAGTGTGGAAAACCACTGCTGTCCAGAATTACTGTCGAATTCAAATGAATAAATGTTTTACAAAAGATAACCATCAGCTAAGGTTGCATCGGTACAATTTCGAATACATCTCTGATTCATTTGATGATGAAGAGGATGGCACCGGTACCACTTTCTTTCAGGGTGCGAATCCGCTTTGGGGATGGAGTCTGGTATTATCAAAGATTATCAACTGACAGCCTCCTCCACATATTCATTTCTACAGCCCTACAAAGCCAGGCCAGGTATGCAGACCAAACCATTGTTGCCTACTGTCTCACATCCTGGTATATTGCATCATAACGTATGATAGACACTAGTATCAAGTCGGGTTTCTCAGAGTGACTAGCATCTAATTTCTCTCTAAAATATCAATCTTGAATCGAACATTGAGGTCACGGGAAAAAAAGAAATCAAAGCGAGCTCTAAACGAGCTGTTAATTTTTTACACATCCTCATAGTTAGCACCTGAGGAAATGTATCACAGAGGACAGTATTGAGAATATGCATATTTATGCTGGTGTACAGGGGCGTAGTCAGGATTTCCAGGAGGGGGGTTCCAAATTGGTTCCTACGAAAACAGTTCTAAACTCCTTACATTACGTACGTACAATACTTGGCGTTTACGCTACGCAACCAGAAGACGCCTTGGTTGCCGTCGAGCGAACGTGTTTATCACTTCCTCGATATTCATATCTTGGTGGTGATTGATGTTCATCAACGCCAGCCCAGACTCTCGCTCGCTTGACATGGTCGACCTCAAGTATTTTTTTAACCTTCTTAATGTACTGAATGAGCGCTCACATTCAGCTGACGTTAACGGCAACGTGCACATAATGCGGATCAAGATGTGGATGTTAGGAAAGAACTCTCGATCGCATGCTGCGAGTGACTGAACTCTACTGGTAGGAAGGTCGCATCCTCAGTGCTGCGCCACTTTCTCTTCCATAGCAGGAGCTCAACATCAACCACATGAGGAGAAGGAAGGTTGTTCTCATAAAACTCTAGCGCTACTCCTATGCCAGGATTTCTGTCTCTGACGGTTACCAGCTCAGAAAGAAGATTAAAGAGGCTGGACAAGACAGCATCATTAGTAGCCGATTGAAGTATGTTTTCATCTCTGATTGTAGATGGTCTAGAAGGGGAATAGCAACTGCCCTCTTGTAGAAAATCAGATGGTGTCTGGGCTGGTACATTGTCGCGAGGCTGCTGCTGATTGCTTCGGCGCGGTATGGAAGGCACAACACCGACATTTGCCACAGTAGTGACTGCCAGATCAAACCACTTGGTCCAGATGTCTTCGAAGTTGTCTCGGATGTCCTGGAGATCGTCCGTGACATTGTTACTGTTAGTGTAAGCCTCGTTAAGTCTTACTTAACGGCCTAGTGTAAAGACAACCATTGTAAGCATAGAAAAATGAAGAATTTCAGGAATCGAGAGTCCATTACACTCTTGCTGAGATAAAGTGACTGAGGAGAGGGGAGTTCCGGAACCCCTGGAACCCTCCCCTGGCTACGCCCCTGAGTGTACCACTGCTGAGTTATGGTTCTCGAAGCATCGCTGAAAATAGTATCACTGATTTCATCTCGTGTCCCGTTATAACAACAGTTTTAGTCCGCTATCTATCGAAGTCTTGTCGATGTCTATCGTCTCAGGCCGTGTGCTGTTAAAAGGAATATAAAATGCCCCGAATGATTTGAAAAAAACTCGGAAGGAAAATAATCTGTTTTTATCTTTAAGTAAGAACTTTTCTCTTGGGTTTAGGCGGAGACAACGATGCGTGGTGTGCCTTCATCGCAAATGACCAGCAATTCATTGAGCTCGATTTCACCAAGAAAACACGAGTGACACGAATTGTAACTTATGGCAGAAGCCAGAAACAACACTGGGTCAAGAGATATCTGATACAGTTCAGCAATAACGAGGTGGACTGGTACAATTACACTGAAAATGGCTTCGATAAGTTGAGTATTAAGCTTTCGTCTTCTCTCGGTTTTACGAGGATGGCATATGCGCAAAGTACAAATTAACGAACAATTTCATTAAGCCCATTCAAATATTCCGAAATAGCGCAGAAGGCAGACACTGATGGCTGATAATCACGCATGCAACGAACAAGTTGCCAGTAAATTTTAAAAAGGCCAGTAAATATATCTTACAAGACGTTTTGTTGTGTAGTATCGCTGAGTATTTTTACGAGTTGTGCCGTCTTTTGACGAGCCCGTAGGGCGAATCAAAATACAAATAACGAGTACAAATACTCAGCGATACTACACAACAAAACGTATAATAAGTTATTTATTATCCAACACACCAAACTGTTATGTCAGTGCGAGCGAATTTCGCGGATATTTATTTACAAGGAGTGTGTGACAGAAGTATGCGAAGCGGAACGGAATTGGCGCGTTGTTGCGTTGCTGTCCATTTTCTTCAATAAATGAAGAAATTTCCTGTTCGTCTAGCTGTTTTTCTTCGTTCGATTCATCTTATAAACTTGGATCTATATATGCCAGCCATTCCGACTCTTCGTGGTCAGAAATATGACTCAAATTGTCCGTCATTTTTTTTTCTAACTTTAATCCAATCAGATGCAATGAATATATGAAGTTCATATATTTTGAACTGCGGTATTAGATACGTATGATGTGCGATCCTCGCAGTAGATAGCGCTATATATGCAATAGCGAAAATCAGACCTGAAAGCACTATCTACTGCGAGGATCGCACATCATACGTATCTAATACCGCAGTTCAAAATATATGAACTTCATATATTCATTGCATCTGATTGGATTAAAGTTAGAAAAAAAAATGACGGACAATTTGAGTCATATTTCTGACCACGAAGAGTCGGAATGGCTGGCATATATAGATCCAAGTTTATAAGATGAATCGAACGAAGAAAAACAGCTAGACGAACAGGAAATTTCTTCATTTATTGAAGAAAATGGACAGCAACGCAACAACGCGCCAATTCCGTTCCGCTTCGCATACTTCTGTCACACACTCCTTGTAAATAAATATCCGCGAAATTCGCTCGCACTGACATAACAGTTTGGTGTGTTGGATAATAAATAACTTATTATACGTTTTGTTGTGTAGTATCGCTGAGTATTTGTACTCGTTATTTGTATTTTGATTCGCCCTACGGGCTCGTCAAAAGACGGCACAACTCGTAAAAATACTCAGCGATACTACACAACAAAACGTCTTGTAAGATATATTTACTGGCCTTTTTAAAATTTACTGGCAACTTGTTCGTTGCATGCGTGATTATCAGCCATCAGTGTCTGCCTTCTGCGCTATTTCGGAATATTTGAATGGGCTTAATGAAATTGTTCGTTAATTTGTACTTTGCGCATATGCCATCCTCGTAAAACCGAGAGAAGACGAAAGCTTAATACTCAACTTATCGAAGCCATTTTCAGTGTAATTGTACCAGTCCACCTCGTTATTGCTGAACTGTATCAGATATCTCTTGACCCAGTGTTGTTTCTGGCTTCTGCCATAAGTTACAATTCGTGTCACTCGTGTTTTCTTGGTGAAATCGAGCTCAATGAATTGCTGGTCATTTGCGATGAAGGCACACCACGCATCGTTGTCTCCGCCTAAACCCAAGAGAAAAGTTCTTACTTAAAGATAAAAACAGATTATTTTCCTTCCGAGTTTTTTTCAAATCATTCGGGGCATTTTATATTCCTTTTAACAGCACACGGCCTGAGACGATAGACATCGACAAGACTTCGATAGATAGCGGACTAAAACTGTTGTTATAACGGGACACGAGATGAAATCAGTGATACTATTTTCAGCGATGCTTCGAGAACCATAACTCAGCAGTGGTACACTCAGGGGCGTAGCCAGGGGAGGGTTCCAGGGGTTCCGGAACTCCCCTCTCCTCAGTCACTTTATCTCAGCAAGAGTGTAATGGACTCTCGATTCCTGAAATTCTTCATTTT